AACGCCGGATGGCTTGGTTTTTGGTTTGGGCGAACACCAAGTGTTTTTAATGACTTAAACATGTTTGAAAAACATTTTTATGATTTAAGAAATGCAATGAAGGATTTTAGCCTAAAGAGCCAAGGTGTAAAGATTGGGTCGGTCTTGATCACAATGAAGACCGACTCAACGACACTAAGACTAAGGTCTTCGTTCTTGGTCTTCTTTTAGCTCTTGTTCTTGTCTTCCTTCTTCGCCTTGTATATTCAAAGGTTGTCTTGATCACGGCGGTTTGGCATTATCAAAACCTGTTACAAAAACGAACACGACTTTAGTACGAAAACGTGACACGCCCGTGTTTCAACACCATAGAGCTTCTCATACGGTGTAACCCCCTAGAAGAGACGAGGGAGTCCGGTTGATCAAGTATGCCGACGTTTATATACATTCTCCCTAAAATTCTATCGGAAGCCCCGCCTGAAATCTCAGAGCACGACCCACATTCAAAATATGGCGATGTTTATGCTCCACCCTTCCATTCTGCTGTGGTGTAGATACACAAGATGTCTCACGAACAATTCCCTTTTTCCAAAAAATATTCATTCAAACATTCAAATTCTATGCCATTGTCACTTCTCACACACTTTATTCTCTTCCCAAATTGACATTCAACCATGGCACAAAATTGTTTAAAAACACTTCATACAGTCCATTTTGAATCAAGCAAATACACCCACACACCACGTGAGAAATCATCCTCAATAGTCAGAAACAGTGTAGAACCATCCAAACTTGGTCTCTGATAAGGACCCCACAAATCACAATGTACCATATCAAAATTATCCATAGATTGATGAAAATTGATAGGAAAACTAGCACGAGTTTGTTTAGCACGCAAACAGATATCACAATGACTATGACTACTTTTATTTGAACCAACTACAGGAACTAAGGATTAAACATGTGAAGAAGGATGTCCTAGACGTTTGTGCCAAAGATCAAACACATTCCTTTAGCAGCACTGCATGCCTTGCTCCTCCCTTCCTTCTTTAAGTAGTACAATCCTCCTTCATGTCTACCCACACCAATCGTTGTCTTCAAACTTAGGTCCTGTAAGATGCACAAATCATTGGTGAACTTTGCTTCACAGTTCATATCTCTTGTCAGCTATGACATAGAAATTGAATGGCAATTCAAGGTTGGAACAAACAACACATTCTGCAAAGTCATAGTCATAGTCAAATCAACCTTTCGAGATTGAACAGACACAACCCTTTTCCCATTAGGTAATCCAATTTCACAAGGATACACTCCCACAACATCGTATAATAACAAAAGATCACCTATCATATGATTGGACGCACCAGTATCAATTATCCAACGAAGTGATACAGGGATACCTGAGAGTTTCTGTGAGTTATCTATAGAGGAGAGCGAAAGGGAATGACGAATAGCATTCCACTTTTCAGACATCAAATCCTCAAAATTTGGCAGCGGGGACGGTCCTTTTTCTTCTCCTTGGACCGCATGAACTTCACCTCGTCCGCCCGCAACGGTCGACCGTCCAGTTCCTACGGTCGACCGTCTTCCGCCTCGTCCAGCACCACGACCCCTTCCTCGGTTGTTTCCTCTTCCTCTTCCGGCCTGATCACGGAACACCCACCCCTCAAGGTATCCGATTAGCTTGTAGCATGCATCAATTTCGTGATCACGGAACACCCACCCATCACGGAACACCCACCCGCATCACTACTTTCTCCTTCGTGTATGCTGCTTTGTGCCGTTTCATCTTGCACAAGAATGTTGTATATTCTCACCATAAGTGGTATGACTTCCTGGCCAACAGATTTGACCGTAGAGTTCCATACACAGCATCGTTCAATCCCATCAAAAATTGATGTGATCGTTCCCTCTCACGCATCTGTGCAAGCTTCTCTAGCAAGCCCCACGTGCAATTCCTACACGTAAAGATCAGGAACCGCTCCAAATCTGCTAGATCATCCCACAATTTCTTCATCTTCCCATAATATTCCATTATATAAAGATTCTTCTATTTGCATTCTGCCAAGTCTTGCTTCAACTGCTGAACCCTCGGTCCATTGACTACAGAGAATCGAGCCTTCAAATCGCTCCTCAGATCCGAAGCCTTCTCCACAAACGATATGCTGGATCTCAAGGTTGGATCAATCGTGTTCCGAATCCAAGAGACTAACAGTGAATGGTTCGTCCACCAATCATCAAAATCATCCAAATCAGGATCGGGGATCGCAATTGTTCCATCAACAAATCCAAAATTCTTGCATGCTCGAAGAGCCAAACGCAGAGATTTGGACCATTCATCATAATTATCCCCCTTCCGAACGACATGGGTCAAAATCATAATGGGATTGTCGCTCGGGGACAAGTCATATGGAGAGATACGTCGACGACGCACTCCAATTTCTTTTTCCTCACGCTCTTCACTCTTTTTGTCGGAAATAATCTTCATGGAAACCTCTTCGGACATACCAAAAATCACAGATCAATAACAGGCGAAATTACTGCAGCAACTGGAGAATCTGTCGTCGGGACGGTCGATACCTTCGACCGTTCTACTAGGGACAGTCGACCGTTCCGATACTTCGGCATTAGCAACAAACGATGATCGATGGACGCGATGTCGGTCGATCGTGAATAGTAGCTGTGGAAATTCTTAGGGTTTTGGCTCTGATACCATGAAAGAATTATTCGGAATGAAATTCTTTGTATTGCTCTCTCGTCTTTACAATATATATATAGCTTAGAGTCCTAATTAACAAAGGAAAAGGAATCTCTATACAAGGAAACTACCAAAACTAATATATACATGAATAAATGCTAAATATTCTCTTTCCTCTTTTACAAAAGTCCTCTAGTGTATTACACACAGGGTATTGAAGTAGTCATTGAGAAGTGAAGAGTGGGCAGCCGCTCGATCTTGGTTTAAACGTTGTTGTCGGGTCCGGCGTTAGGAGGATTCGACTTCTTCTTTTTCGCCTTGTGGTCACCATTGATAACAACTCGTGGCGAAACAGCGAAAAATGAGATCTCTTTTTTATCATCGGATGAAGATGATCCCATTTTTAAAATATATTTTAGAAATAATTATAAAAAATAGAAAAATATTTGAAAGAATATTTGATAGAATTAGAGAGAGAAGATAGTGAGATATGTGTGAGAGATAGGTTTGTTTTGATTGGATTTATAAGTTTTTTTAAATTTAATTTGTTTTGTGATTAATGGCTTAAAGAGCCGTTGGGGGAGGGGGGAGACACGTCAAATGTTTATCGCGTTGGAGCTCACGCCCCATAACGCTGCCAGGAGGGCAGTGTTTAACGCCTGAAGGGCGTCAAACAGTGGTTGACGTCGGGGGGGCGTCTGCTCCATTTTCATTGATCTTAGACATGATCTATGCAATATTTTGTACCAACACATTCAAGCTAAAA